CTTTTGTTGTATACTGTATGCAATAATACTACAACCTCCATTTAAGGTATTTACAATATAGCGTCACAAAATATTCAATGAAGTTACCAGAATTCAACAACAAACGTACGTCTCGATGCAGCTGTATGACATTCTGACACATTTTGCAGCAGCGAACGACGCAGGCCTTCTTGTTCGCCTCCTAAAACTCTCCAACCCTGCTGGTTGATGAAGCTGCAGACGGTTGGTGTATCAGCGTGTAACTGAAAGCCGTATGTTCTCATCAGACGACGATACGAAGGATAACAGAGGAGGAAGAGCAATAAACAGCTTCCTGATAGCAACACTGATGATGCCTCCTCGTACAAACACAAATCATCTCGTCTCCGAGCAGAAACACTCTCCTCGCTCTCCTCCGTCCATTTGTTTCTGTTTGTTTCCTCTTCCTCCTGTTGTGTGTGATTGCTCATCCATTTTTAATGCCTCTGTGTGTTTTATGGTTTTGCTTGTTGCTTGTTATTGAGATCGAATGTCCTCCGCAGACTGAAGACAACGACTCCGTGAGCCGATGTCTCTTTTGTTACTGTATATATTTCTGTTATTAGATCTGCGGCGCTGTTTTATTTTATTAGATACACCTAACTGAAACTAATGCAGTCTAATTGAACTGGCCGGCAGTAAATCTTCTTTTCATCAATAAGGGAAGACTAGATATTAGAATTAACGCTCAGCAGAAAGCAATAAATTGCAAAAATACATCCTCGGCCTCCAGAATGACCGTAAAGTTGAATCAACACGTCTTTAAAGAAGCTAAAGCAAAACTGAACATAATAGCCTTCATTAAGGGAGGATTTATCGCTGGGATGTTGTGTTAGACTGAATTAGTTTTCTAATAAAGCAGCAACTGCATGTGGATGAAGGAGCTTAAAATATTAAATAAACCTCACTGTGGTCTCTTAGTAAATGTTCTGTTGGTCTCCAAGAGGAGAACGTGTACCGATACATGCTGTTTATCTTGTAGTCTGTAGACTATCCTGTAGCGGTGGATCTTCAGGCTCTTGGTCGTGTTCCTCGACCCGTTCTCGAGCAGTTCTTATGGTGTGGCAGGTTGCATTGTCCTGACTTTCATTGCCATGTGAGGGTGTGCTTAATCTGTAGCAGTCATGCATTTTGGTTCTTTTATAGATTTATTATAGATCTTGTAGAAATATGACGAAATCTGCTGGGTCAACAATATACATATAGCAATGCTAATATTGGTTAAATAACCTTTAGCTATTTTAACCTCAACCATGTGCTTTTCAATTTCAATTTCAATTTCAGTTTTATTTGTATAGCGCATATTTACAACAACAGTCATCTCATAGCGCTTCACAAAGGCAGAAACAGAAACACCCAACAATCCAAAACATCTGGATTCCCTATAAGCTTCAGCAGTCCACAACAGTGGGAAGGAACCAAAAACCCCTGCAGGGGAAAAAAAATCTCCGACAGAACCAGGCTCAGGGAGGGACGGCCATCTGCCTCGACTGGTTGGGTGGATGTAGGATGAATTATAAAATTTAGTTTACAGTTAAACAAGTTATTAGAAGTTATTGTCCTTTTGTAACAGGAGGCATCATGGTGGGGGGAGCAGAATGGTTTCAAGCTTCTGGTTGTGTCCTTAACCACTGCTCTTGACAGAGCTGGTGCAGTTTAACTAAGTTTGTTGGATTTTTCTGTTTTTCATCATCTCGGGTCACAGGTTCTTGAGACCAGTCTAAAACCTTGATTCTAGCCGGACTGAACCATTTCTTCACCACTTTTGAGGTGTGTTTGGGATCACTGTCTTGTCGGAACACTTATCTGTGTCCAAGACCCACCCTTCTAAACCAGACATTTAAGAAAAATAAGTCCCCACTTTATTCTGTTTTATCGTGTTTGTTGTCAAGGTGATGGTTAGTCGCTCTGTTTTCTGCTGTCAGCTGACCGAGCTGCTGTTAACATTTTTAGCCTGAGAGAATCGCAGCTGATCACGCCGCAAACATTCCTGGTCTTCCACCAACGACAACAGATCGATAAACTCTACGGTTCCTCATTGACTCACCCCCAGCCTCGCACCTACGGAGGCCTTCATCAATACCACTGACAGATGCTAAATGTGTGAGGGCAAGAGAACAAAGAAAAAATAAGGAGGTCTATCTGCCACCAAAGTGTCCCCCACAGAGAATGGAAACAGAACTGAAGTCTCAATTAAAATGACTATTTTCAAGATGATTGTCTGATCCATTTTTGTTCATCACTGCTGATGATTTGTAAAGCAAATCTTTAAAGACTTTTACATCAGATTTGTGTTTTCTCAAAGACAGGAAGGCAGCAGTGTTATTCAGTTCATACATCATGAAGAGGATCATGTTTGTTCTCACAAAGGCTGGTATTGTTCCGTGTACCAACACATTTGTCACAGCAAATCGATTTGAAATCCTGCTGTGCTAATAGTAGGAATTTAAAAATATCAATGTGTAATTTTTCAGTAAACATCCAACACAAGAAGAAGAAGAAGTGCAATTAATGGTAGTCATTTTTCTTTAAGTGTTTCAACGAATAAGCAAAGACTAGGAAGGGATGACAAAGACGTGTCGCTGTGGGGAATTTTCCATTAGAAATAAAAACAAATTGTTAGGAATTGCTGTGATTTTACCCAAATCACAAGCATTTGTCCTCTTCATGTGAGTCATTTTTAAGACAACCTGTATTCTGCAACTTGTTGAGACTTTTTAGCCTCAACTGTCCTTCAACATAAATACTGATGTTAGCATGCTAACATGCTAATGTGAAATAATTGTAAAATATACGGTACAGATGCTAATAACGTCTAAACAGCAATACCAACTGCTATGCTAATGGATGGAAACACTTATGCTGACATGTTAACATGCAGTAGCTAATATGTCAAGCTAATTTGAAACAGACCTTCAAAATAACATTAAAGTGTTAAAAAACAGATAATGCTAATTAGATTTGTTTCCAGTAAATGTTTTGCAGCAAATTAGCTTAGCTGTGCTGTCAGAAGGCTGTTAGCAGTAATAAACTGGGTAGAAGATGCGGGAAACCAAACCAGTTGTTTGCCCATTGCTAAAAGAAAAACCTCAAAACTTTTATTATCTGCATTACCTCTTCATCGAAAAAGTCCAAAACCAAACCAGCACAAAACCTTCTTGCTTCATTTTTTTTCAGTGTTTTTTTAAAATTTTGCCATTTTTAGCACATTAGCTCTTTCATCTTACCTGCTAGCATTGATTTCATGAATATGCCTAATGATGAACAATGCAATTTCTTATTCATCCACTAACTGTAAGGCTGATGGTTCAATCTTTGGGTGTCTTTGGGTAAGACGGCGACCTAAAGTTGCTCCACTAGTGTCCATGTGCGACTGGTTTACCATTTATTTTTAATGGCCTTTCTAAGGAACATGTTCTTGAGTTTGGAGTCCATGTTCCTAGACAGCTAATATCTGATTTTACTAATGTTGTCTGAAAATGTCTGGACTGTTTGGTCCAATCTGTCTTCCAGTTTCCTGGTGTGGATGGAAACAGCTGCTAGTTCTACAAACCAAGCTGTGACCAGAGTTGTAAAAAGGAACTAGTTCTGGTTAAATGCACTGTCGTCATCACATCTGAAGTCTGATTGTCACTGTCCTGTCTGAGATACACTGTGGTTTATTAGGGGGAAAGGAATTCCTGGTAAATCAGTGCCTTTGCTGTAATAAAGCGCAGTGTTATACATGCTTCTTCTCAGCTGACTGAATTAGAGTCTTATGATCGTCTCTAAATACACCACGTTTAGCCGTGAGGTAAACACACCCCGGACTACAACTCACTGGATATACCAACACTTCACACCTTCAAGAATCAGACTTGAAACCTTCATTCCAAGAGTTCATCCAGTAGTTTAAGCAGCATCAGTAAAGCAGCATAAAATGAAAGTATTCAAGTGTTTCAAAATTGCGCTTGTAGATAAAAACCAACTCTTTTCCTCCTTCAGTCGCTCTTTCTAAGTCATTTTTCAGTGTTTGCACATCTTCCTTCTGCTGCGGTTTAATGGCACCAACAATTGATCTCGAGGCGATTAACTTCTAATATTCAGCCGGCTGCATTTATTGACATTAACGTCACGGATTTAGTTGCAAAGCTGCTGCTGCTGTGCTGTGGGTGTATTTTGGTTTTAACCCAAAGAAGAACGGAGAGCTCAGCAACTTGGAGGAGGCGATTTGTTGGAATTGCAGCAAAAAGGTGGCAATCAAAGGCGTTAATACAACCAATAAAGCCATAAAATGAACAGATAATGACAATTAAATCGCTAATTGCAACTATTTCTATGACAATTAATCGCCAGTGAAAGATTAAAGATTATGTCTACCCATACAGGACTGATTTTGTCTGGATATTTCCCCTTGTCTCGCTATTCAAAAGACATTTTTTTGTGAATATTCTCACTGCCTCATATGTGAGGTTGGTTATATGCTCCTATTTTTCTTCTGCTGCATTTTCACACTGTCTCTTCTACTTTCTCATGAGTCTTTCCCAACCAGACTCTCACACAAACACATACAAACGTACTATTTTCCCAGAAAGTCTTGTTACAGTCAGAACGACCCCGTGAACCTCGCTACCATAATTCAACGTGGCAGCTGGTAGTACAACAGCACACATAGGCGCTGACCATCTCCTTCCTCTGTCGGTTCACTATCCGCTGGCTTGTTTTTCGACTCGCATGTTTGCCTCTTATATCCGATTCTGTGTGTTTCATTAATTATGTTTGTTTCGCAGCACATCCAGAATACCTACGGAAGCTGAAGCTTGAGTTTTTCTCTGTTCGTGACCACTCGTCTCCGTCCGTTTCCTTCTTCAGGTTTATTGCGGTCATCACTATGACTGATGGGGATTATGACTACCTTATAAAGCTCCTTGCCCTGGGGGACTCCGGCGTGGGGAAGACCACGTTCCTGTACCGGTACACAGACAACAAGTTCAACCCCAAGTTCATCACCACAGTCGGCATCGACTTCAGGGAAAAGAGAGTGGTGAGTTTCCTAATCTCTTCTATTACAATCTCCAGGAACAAAAGCGATGGAAATGCTGCTCATTTGTCTTCATCTCAAGTTTGCGCCCAGTTGTCTGATCAACCTCACTCGCAGGTGATGGAGGCTCGGTTGCCATAGTGACTGTGGCATTTGTCCACGCATTTTCTCTGGGCTTCACTTATCACAGAACAAACAGTGGGTCAGGTCAGGTCTGGATTTTCTGCTGCTTTTTTCTCCCACAGTGGCTGCTGCGCTGAGTCACACTCGACTTATTATAACTTACACAAGAAAATCAAACTTGGACGGGATCCAGGCTGGGATAAGCAACCCGGAATAAATTATATGTGAAGAGATGGCGTAGGTTAACTAGTTAGTTTCTAACATTACGGTTGCTTTCATACATGGAAAACAAAAGGAGCTGACATGTAGACCCATGAGCCAAAACAATTAGACTACTTGCAGCTGAGGCAAAGAACCACGATTGTTATGAGCTGCACACGTCAAGTCCAGGACATACCTGAAGGTTAGAGAATAGTTGGTTGACCAACCCTCGACCTTGTCGCTGGCTGGTGGAAATGGGCAGGCGTAAGGACTTTGAAGGACTTTGAAGTCGCTACGACCAAACGTCTGGGTCCGAAACTGTCAAAGTAATTTATTGTTCAAATAATTAGAGTTACTGTTGTTCCACTTGAGCTAATGTGCACAACTTTCTCTTGGAGAGGCTTATACGGATCCTGCTGCTGTTTAATGCTGCAGGTATTCAGAGGAAATAGTCCTAAACAGCCGGAAGCAGCAAACTTGAGTCCCGGCGCTGTCCTTGTTAGCGCGTTAGCATACTGAGATTAGCGTTTAACTCAAAGCACCCATGTGTCTACAGTTGGTACAGCCTCACACAGATGCTAGCTTGGCTGTGGACTCAACTGGCAACAGCAGCAACACAGTTTACAACAGTTTAAGTTGTTCCCTCTGGTTTTTATTTATTTATTCAAAGCAAGTTGCAGTAAAAAATTAATTGAAACCAACAAAACTCAAAAAGAACAGGTTTTTAATTAGTTGAACAACTGGAAAGGGCTGCAGGGTGGCGCAGTTGGTAGCACTGTTGCCTCGCAGCAAGAAGGTTGCTGGTTCGCGTCCCGGTGGGGGCACCGGAATCTTTCTGCGTGGAGTTTCCATGTTCTCCCCGTACAGCGTGGGTTCTCTCTGGGTTCTCCGGCTTCCTCCCACAGTCCAGAAACATGTTGAGGTTAATTGGTGATTCTAAATTGTCCGTAGGTGTGAATGTGAGTGTGCTTGGTTGTCTGTCTCTAAGTGTAGCCCTGTGATAGACTGGTGACCTGTCCAGGTAAACCTGCCTTCACCCTAAGTCAGCTGGGATAGACTCCAGCCCCCCAAGACCCTAGTGAGGATTAAGCGGTGTATAGATGATGGATGGATGGACAGCTGGAAATAAAACCTAATTTCTTGCTGGGATAAACCTCAGATTAGTCATCCCCATGCCAAAGTTTGCCAAACAAAAACCAGTCCTATATGACCATTTTTTCAATGTGTTGTAGTTTAGACACAAAAGCTTCTTGGGTATTGTTACGAAATTCTGTTAGTCAGTGGTTCCCAGTAAATATTTGACGAGTTGCCTCACATGCCACACATACTGGATGTACCAAACTGACAGATCCAGCAACAGTGAACTAGCAGAACTTGGAAGTCTAGGTAGTGAATATAACAAAATCGCTGCCTCTCTGGAGAGCTGACACTCACGAACCCTGGGGAACATGACGGTGACGTGTCCTGACAGCCTGAGAGACGGTCTTATTAAAATCATCTTAGACTTGAAAGGTGGCTGATGAGACGGACGCAGATTGGTTGGTCGTGTGTGGATGGACGGTCGAGGAGATGTGGTTTTTGACAAGTTGCAGGACTTGTAGTTGATAGTTTTTCTGACTTTGCCTGTATTGGGTTGGGGTTGAATTTGCAACCAATCAGACGCCTCCCTGGCTCTCTCTCTCTCTATATATATATGTAAAAGAAAACAACATCATACAGCCTTCTTTCATGTCTTAAAAGGCTTTCATGAATGATTTTCCGGAAAGTACAGCTCTAAACTGTAACTTATTTGTTGAAAACATCCCCAGCTGCTGATAAAGTCTCATCAGGATCATTACATATGCAGATGTAAAATGCAGTTATGTGACTCAGAGAGTGGGCGAGGCTCGGTTGGGTTCGGTCAGCAGTTTGATCACCTCGGTGCTCTGCTGCCTTCGCACGTCTGAAATACAGACAATGCAGCTTTAAGCCCACCACTCCGGATGACTCATAGGATTGATTATTGTTCCTCACCTCCTCTCTGGATGTGTGTGTTTTTGTGTGTTTGTGCTGAGGTCACACCCTGCTTTCAACACTGTCTGGAGTCAGACAGAAGCAGGCACATGTGCGATCGCAGCTGCACTTCGACGCCACCGGTGGCTCCTTCTCAGAGGCCTCGAGCCGAATCGTGACCAGTTTGTTCATCCAGTTTGTAGATAAAAGTCACATGACTCCCAAGCAGGTCATTTAGTGGACGGTGTTGGTACGATGTGAAGATGCTTTGGGGCAGTTAAAATGTGAAAAAAACAGCCAATTATCAGCTCAAAGACAACACTGCCTTAGTTTCGCCCATGTTTATCAGTTCTTGTCAGCTGATTTGAAGACATTACCGTTTGTGGTTCAAGCACCTAATAGGCAGGTTCCTGATGATAATACTCCTCCCCTACATGCTAATGTGTGAACTTAAGCTGACTGTTCCTGATGCTGTGTGTAATAATCAAAAAAATGCTGGTAAAAAATCTTTTTTTTGCTGCATGTGATCCTTTAAAATTCTGTATACTTGTAACTATATTTCTGATCTTTACCTCACAATCATTATCGAAGGTGTAAAAGTTTCCTTTCCTAAGTAGTAAATTCCTGTCTGTGAGTGTTGCAGTGCATTTTAAATGTTAATCTGTTCCTCCAAATGTACTTCCTGGATCAGATTTCACACCTCCACCAACTCACCCAACCTGCATTGCCTCACTGCTGGGCTGGGTTTTTTTAAAAGTCTGATTTCCCCCTAAGTTCTGGCTCAGCATCAAAAGATTTGGTTTGTCTTTCACTATCAAGATCTCTCAACTTTGGAGCTACCTCTCTGAAAGTCTGACGTTTGCACAGACGGGATCTTCTTTTAAATCACATCGCCTCAATCAGGAAAACAAATGACAAAATATGACCCTTATACCAAAAACCAGCACCGGATACACCAATGAACCAAAATATCACAAACAAACACAGAAAAAAGGGATTAACATGAATTATTTTGCAAAGATCTGGGATACATCAAACAGTCAATGATCCACACTTAGTGTATTTTAACGTTTGCTGGGTTCCAAGCCTACCAACCCAAAGTTGCCTGGCACCAGAAGCAATTTTGACTTCAGCGTCTTGCCCAAGGACACTTTTGATTAGTGGACAATCCACTCTACCACAGTAACAGAACAGTCATAGTCAATGCAAGAGACATGGGTTGGGGTAAAGACGAGAATGACTTTGACAAGAGCCAGATTGTTTGTTGTTTGATGACTTCGTTGGAGCATCTCCGAAACAACAAGGTTTGTCGGGTTGATCCCGATCAGCAGTGGTGAGTGCCTACTGAAAGTGGTCAGAAAAGGAAACACAAACCAGATGTTAAGGGATGTTCTCCAACAAATCCCATCTGTGGTGGCTCCAACTTGCAACTTACAGGACCTGCTGCTAAGATCTTGGTCCCACCTGGCACATTTGTAGGTCTTGTAGAGTCTATACCTGAGCAGGTCTCCACAAAGAACCCATAGAAACTTGTGGTCAGTTTGCACCTGGAAAACTGAGCCAAAGCCACCGTGGAGTCTGTGTTGCCGTGAGCATGTTTGGTGCAAACTCCAGCCTTAAAGAGTGTCAGAGAAAGTGTCAGAGTGTCTCATCTGGGAGAGTCGGAGGCGCGAATGACGCCCGAGGCTTCCCGCAAAGACACAAACACACAAGAGTTCATCATTTCACAGTCTGAGTCACGGTCCAGATGAGTGCCAGTCCTGCTGAGCTACAAGTGGAGAGGTGGGAAAAAAAAAATCCTGGACTACGTTGGCGCATATTTCTCGAAGTTCCGGTGAAAAGATACTCGATAGCGGAAGTTCAGTTCGGGTAACAGATCTGTGAGTTTGATTTGTCAGATGTCAACATGCTGCACAGTTGTTCAGGGTACAATGAGGAAGGATTTAACCGTGGGATGTTATCACAGCAGCCGTCTGTCTTCTCCACTGTGGAATTACAACAAGCACCTTCCACAGTATTCTACTCTGAATGAATGGATGTGCGTGTACGGCTTGATTATGTGGCCAAAAACCTTGAGAGTTGATGTTTTTCATTGCTGAAACTTTTAAGAATGTCGATTTGTGCAAATCTTAAATTGAGTCAAAGAGTCATACTGCATTATTTAAATTTTATAGATTACACATAAACAAGAATTGGACTCTATTGAACGCATTTGATTTGCTGCCCAGCCCTGCAGCCATACTGTGAAAGTCAAGCAAGGTTCAAATCTTCAATGAAGCCTTTGTAATTAGGTTATGCATTACATTTCAATATGTTTTCTGGGAGAATTGTCATCTGGAATGTCATCTACAAAGGTCAAAGTTCTATGGCTGTCCCGTAAATGGGATTGTACACAACAAATAGGGGCAGAGAAAGTAAGAAAAACCTTGGGGGGGAAAAAAAATCCCAAATCATGCAGATTCATGTGGGACCAATATGTTACAGGACTTCTGTGAAATCTGGTAGCGAGTCCCAGTAGAAATTTTACTTTTTAAATTATGGGTGTTTTTTTACAGGATTAAGATCACAGATGACCTCCATAGTTATTATAAATTAATAAAGCTTCCTAAGTAACACTAGTCTTATGCAAATAGTGTCGTAGAGGTGTTGCTAGATTGTAGTGTTAAGCACAATGTCCACCAATTAATACATTTGTATGTGAAGTGTATAAAGCCAGTCATTTGATCTGTTATCGAGCGTCTACGCTACTAAACGTCTGTTATTTGTGTCTCCTCAGGCCTACACAGCGACTAACCCCAATGGGACGACCACAGGGAAAACCTTCAAGGTTCATCTTCAGCTCTGGGACACCGCTGGACAGGAGAGGTGGGCTGCTTATCCCATTAAGTCTGGGTCTTTTCCCACGAGGGGGGAAACGTCTAACAGGATAACGGGTTGTCAGCTGGTTCCCATGTCGCCGATGGTATCTCGGATTTCAGCGATACTTTAGGAAACAAAGCTTTGTTGTGCTGGAGCAACAGCCAGTGGAGCTGAAAGTTGAAGCCATAGATTATATAAATGATGAATATAGCTACAGTGAAGTCAGTTTTTTTATATGTTGACTGCTGTTTTGAAGGCTTGTGTTCAGCATTTGGCCGTTACCACGTTGGTTTTTTGACACTGGCTGTTTATCGTCTATTTTACCCCAAATGAAACCATAATTAACAAAACAAACATCACACTGTATTCAAATAGTCTTTAAACTAGCATTTAATACCATAAAATCATGAGGAAAATGCTTACTGAGGGAGCAAATCAAGTGAGAAGTAGAGTCATTTTCTCATAGACTTCTATACAATCGGACTTCCATAGGAGTCGCCACCTGCTGGCTAGAATGCAGGTCTAAGGAACTTTGGTGCTTACTTCTGTTTTCAAACCCATTTTTTATGTGCAATCTGTGGTCAAAACTGGAGCGTGTTCAGCTGAAGTTTCTGTCTTGGGCAGCCTGGAACCACTACGAACATCTAGATCTGGTGTTACCGTTCACGGATGGTGGTTTCCGCATGTTGGGGATGCTTATCCAAAGTTTGTTCTCTTAAAAGGTAACGTACCTACCTTCAATAAGAGCGGCAATAATGGCAAGTTAATCGCAAAACATAGTGACAAGCATAGATGAGACTAGAACTGAGTTAAAGAAATAACTCCTCTGTTGGTATATTTATTCAATCACTCAAAAAATAGGTGCTACTTCTGTTGGTTGCAAACAGCACTGGTGAAATAGATTCAACAGTTTGAGAATAAATACAAAAACTAAATATTAAAATGAGTAAAATGGCGGTTAACTGGACTGCTAACCCGATGCTTTTCCACGGAAATCGTGGAGTCTCTCCCCACAAATGCTTGTAGAAACCCAATCCTCGCACTTTTAAAATATAATCCTGATTAAATTAAACCATTAAGACCCAAAAGATTTGCAACCTGTTGACTGAATTCATGATAAACAAACAACAATGCGTCTCTTTGCTCAGTTCTAGTCAGTTTAAAGCTTCATTACCTTCATTGTGGAGCGCTGAGACATTTTGTAAGTTCGTAGATTTTCAGTTTGCATTTTTAAAACTCCACTGGTAAACAAATGCAAAAGGTTAAAAAACAAACGGCACGACTGTAATAAAAGTGAAGCCTGTTTGTGAAATCTAGCGTTCATAACCGCACTGAAAGGCCGAAAGGGGAAACAACGGATCAGTATTTATGACTGTGTGTGTCAATCATGTGTGTGTGGTCTCTAATTGGACCCAACCTTGATCTGTTGATTCTCTTTCTAAAGGCCTGATGACTCACTGCTGGATGAGTCAGTGGCAGTTACATAATTTTAATTGCATTTATTCGGCTCAGCGTAACGGAACAGATCTCTGTTTGCGTAAACTCGTCCTCGTGGGGTGAAGCTTGGGTTTGGATGTTGGGGTTCGGGGTTTTTTTTATTGCACCAGTTTGTTATTTACGTCAATAATAACCACAAAAGATTCATTCTCCTGGCAATCAACTCTTCTCATTTAATACCGTCTCTGCTGAGTCAACACACACACATGATTGTGTTTCAGGAAATATTCCCTTTAAGTCTGCATGTGGCACCTTTTTCCCATCAATGATGAATGAATGCATTTTAATTATTTTATAAACCCCCCGAGCTCACATGTGTTCCTGTTCGGTTTCTGCTGGCGTTCAACACTTTCTGCACGTTTAAACCCACATTTATGAATCAAGGACGTTCATTCTCTGCTGTCGCTGGGTTTGCACAACGTATTCTGGGTGCATTTTGAAGTGTTGTATTAGAAAATGGCAAAATTTATCAGAAACTCCCCCAGTTTAGCAAAGGTGGAGGTGGTTCTTCAAATCGCGTTTATGCACCTCATGGGAGATAAAAACCTCTTCTTGGAATAAATGTGGATATTTTTAACTGGTTTTATTGACTCCAGACAGCATTAAACATGAAATTATTACAACTTTTCTGAAGGAAAACAAGTATTCAGATTCGATTTCTTTAATAGATGGACAAAGTTTTGTTTGTTTTTCTGTGGTTGGAAAACAACAGATTTTATTTGTGACAACTTCTATTTCGTCCTTTACAGGCAAAACTATGCAAACTAGCTTCGCTCTGCTGCAATAAATGGAAACAGTTTGCATCTAATTAGCTTCTCAGTCATATAGAAACGCCGTATTTTACCAATTTGACTGAGTGAAAACAAGAATAAACTCACATTTTGGCAATTAACGATTAAAATATTTGTTTAAATACTTATAGACTGAGTCCTTGTTACAGCCGCTGCATCACTCTCGGACGTGAAACTAACGTCCAGAAGTAAACCTGAATAACATCGTAGCTCACGACTTGTTTTTGAGACCTTTTTTTTTTTTTCCCTTTCTGGCTTCTGTGCAGCTGCTGACTCAGATCACAACACCGATTGTGTATCTGTGTGCGTTTGTGGCGTACGTAATTATATTTGCCACGAAAGCTTCGGCGCTTGTGTGAGCTCGTAATTCAAATTCATATCATGGGAATAAAAACAGACGCAGTGCTGAATGGAAAAAGACCCCGTTGTGGTTTTTCAAAGTAAAAGCCCTCCGACGCTTTCTTGTCTTCACTGAAAGGGACAAATGTGTGCGATTATCGAGGGCGACGAATCTCCTGCCACCTCCAGAACCTCACACCCGCTGTGGAAACACGCCTCGTATCTGCTGCTTTGTCCTGATTGTTTGCATATTAAATATTTGCATGTAAGTCGTGTTTGCTCAGTTACGTTCCTGCTGGTGTCACACGAACATGCGACACAACACTCAGGTCAAACAGGGAAGTCCCACGAGTGACTGGAGAGGGTAGGAACAGCAGCATACGTTTGCTTATTGAACATTTTCTTTATTTAAGGCTGTGACTGATTTTAACAGGCTTATAAGTCGGTGCTTCTCTGTCTTATTGTTTTTTTGTAAAAGAAGGTTTTATTCATTCAAACATTTGGGTTGTTTCATCTTAAATCATCAGGGGCCTTCTGCTAATAAACTCTGGATCGTTAAAATTGTTTCTGATATTTTAGACGGATATATTAAATGCTTTCCAAGATTTTCTTAAAAGTGGGCTTTTTAGGAAAACTCTTAGTCGTATTTGGAGAACCGTTTTGAAACTCCAGAGCTCGGTTCTATTTGGATAATCCTGTTGAGCAGTTTTTGTGTTTTCGTGGTACAACTAAAAAACAAAAAACAACAAAAAGAAAAACGTTTTTGTTTTTGTGATCCAGTATTTCATATTAAAAGGTATTCTATGGGATTGTTTTCTATTTTTGTGACCTGAAGCCACGTGTGGTTCAGAAAATATCACCGGTTGACTTCTAAACATAAAGATGGAACTTTTTATAATTTTTTTTCGTATTTCAACTCACCCATAATCAAAGATTTCTTGTTCTACTTGTCCAATATTATAGATTCTGAATCAGTAACATGATAAGAAATAACTGTGAAGATTTCAGGTGTTTATCTTTAATAGTTCCTAAAATATTGTCGTTCAAAAAGCCTCAAATTTCAACGTGGAAAAAAATTCTGCTTAAAGTTCGTCGACGGGCGATTTTTTGAGAAGTATTTGATATATGAAGCTAAAAGTTCACAAATATCTTCATAAGCATCTATGATTTATGCTATAAAAAGTTTAAGAGAAATCAAAGATGGTGGAGCAGAAATTGCTCTAAAAGTCCGATGACTGGAGATGGAACGACTCATCGTAAACTTTGACCACTTGGGGGCAGCAGAGACGAGCTTCAAACACCGATGCTTGCAGCTGTTATTACTGTTAATGTAAGAAGCTGCTTATTTTGCGGACACAGAGCAACGTTAGCATTCATTTGGAGTCTTGTTCCTGTTCCTGTCTGAATGTAAATAAAATGATTTGCTTTCTTTTTATCTCTGTTTTGGTCGACACCAACCACAGAGAGGAAGGAATCTCTGGTAGCTAACGGCTCCACTGTGTCTTAGCTGTGTCGTTCTGTTGTTTGGTGTTGGACCGGGACTTTGGCGTTTGGTTTTTGTTCATTATTTTCTCTGTGAATGGAAACACTGGTGAGCTGCAGAAACGGTTTTCCTCAAAAAGCATCTAGATGCTGTTAGAGGAACAGTTCTGACTTCAGGTTTCAGACCTGGTGTGTTTTCAAATGTGCAGAAGACCAACATGGCGTCGTGTTTGTGCTGCAGGTTCCGCAGCCTGACGACGGCGTTCTTCAGGGACGCCATGGGGTTCCTCCTGATGTTCGATCTCACCAGCCAGCAGAGCTTTCTCAACGTCAGAAACTGGATGAGTACGTTCTCTCTCTCTCTCTCTGCAGGGTGCACGCGAGGTTTTCTACGATCTGCTCATAATTAAAACAGATTTATTCCCCCGATGCGCCCGTCAGACATCCAGGCATGTAAATATGCAGTTCTCCAGTTTTACATTTGCACATGTGATGTGTTTGTGGTTCGTTTGCATTCATTTGCAGGCCAGCTACAGGCCAACGCCTACTGTGAGAACCCCGACATCGTTCTGGTCGGGAACAAGGCGGATCTGGCCGACCAGCGGGAGGTTCAGGAGAAACAGGCCAAGGAGCTGGCCGACAAATACGGGCAAGTTTACTCTGCATGTTTTTCACTTAAGTGAAAGTATAATGTTTGACGTTAGCAATACTGGAGGCATCAACAGTAAGGATAGTTTTAAGATTTGTCATTTGAAGTCTCCAGCTTTCATACCAGCTGACACGATTTACAGCCACTTCCTGCTGTAACTTTACCTGAAGTGTTTACATGCAAACAGTTCAGATCAACATCCTGCAAGACTTAAACTTTGAAATTTCAAAGCTTTCAGCTGCTTTCCAGTTCGGTAAACACTCCCCAGACCTGTCACTGTGTAAACTCTGCCTCACGCACTGCTTTACATGTTTTAACCCCAGTTTGTATTTTAACCTTTTCAGTTAGATTTTTATTGTGTTTGCACTTTTTTTTTCCTGCAAAAATGCAAATTATATTGTTATTATTATTATGTCTGTACTGCTAAATCATTATTAAAAAAAAACACATTTCATCGAGCAAACTGACCGTGAGAGAAGCAAAACACAACATTAGAGACAAGCAGCGATGACGGCGCAAAGATTTCGCAACAACTTCCTGTTAGACGAGCTAAAAATAGTTTCCCAGCGATGCAGGAAGTATTGAGCCTCTGCCTTAAACTCAGGTGAACTTAAAAATGGACGTCACTGTGGTGTTCACATCCTTGGACATCCTAAACGTACTTTAGATCTTAGCAGAGTCACTTTTATTTCCATGTTAGCGATGCTCTACATGCATCTTCAGAGATATGCAAATGTCCTGTTAGCCATTTGCTGTGTTTGTCCATCCATTGTTGCACCATCTCTAATTTGCGTGATTTATTCATTTTTTCATCATGAACTACCTGATATGTATAAAGGCATTTGTATAATTTTAGCTTGATAATTAAAATACTTGCCGAGGCAAAAGTTCGACCCAGTTTTTGACATAATTTTTTTGAAATTTGAAAAGGAGATAAAAACCTGCAGTTTTCGCTGTTGTTTCTCGTCACGTCATTGATTCAGAATCTTGTCTGATATGACGAAAAAATAATAAAACCGTCTCATCCTTGAGCTCACATTTACAAAAACATGAATACTGCAGAAGTCACGATGGAGCTGCAGGCCACAAAAATACAAAACAAAACTTAAAGAATCATTTTTAATATCAAATACTTGAGCGACCCAAATGGAAATCAATGTTCAAACTGATTTTCACGCACCAAAGCTCTCTACTAAACATATTTTCTTCTCGTCCCGTTCAGGATCCCGTACTTCGAGACCAGCGCGGCGACGGGCGCCGAGGTGGACAAGGCGGTGATCACGCTGCTGGACCTGGTCATGAAGAGGATGGAGCAGTGCGTCGACAAGCCGCCCGCCGAGCCGGCCAACGGCAACGGAGCCACGAAGCTCGGCGATGCACAGCCCAACGAGAAGAAGTGTGCATGTTAGACGAAGGCGGCGAATCAGGACAAGCACCAGTCAGCGCTCCTCTGTCTTCTGGCCACAGTCCCTCCTTCTTTTACTTTTTTGATAGCATGTTTCTTCATCGTCACTTTCTTCTCTTTGAAACTAACTCTGAGCCACTTTCTCCTCCTCTTTTGGCTCTTTTTGCTCCCTTTATTCTACTTTATCCCCCCCCACCACCAAAACTGAAACGGCTCTACCCCCCTCTAGTGGACATTCGAGGTAACGCAGTCTCAGCTCTGGCTGCCTTTTTAGGAGGAAAGTGAACCAGGAGGGGACGGTTTTAACGTGCCTCGTCGAAAAACATGCAGCCTGGGAATTAAGCTCCCAGTTTCTCTGCTCGCAAGTGCTTTGAATGGTTTAAACGGACCTAAATGCTCAAACAGACAACTTTAATTTGGAGGAAAATATTCCAGTTTGTATTAAATCTGGGTCGTTTAATTTCAGGCTGTGTGTTGGTGGAAGTGACGGTCCTCTCCTGACGCTTTTCCTCCTGGACCAGGGTGAGGAATTGTGCGACCGACGTGTTTTTACTTTAGTTTTTTTCCTCTTTTTCACACTGAGTTCTACGCTGTACCTGTACTGGCCACATACGGAGGTTTTAAGGGTTCAAGGCAGTTTAGTGTGGTTTACAAATGCTACGTGTTTGTTAAAAATGCACTAAAGTGTGTTGGGTTTGGTTCGGATTGATCAGCAATTGGGGTGTCTGCTTGTTGGCTTCTCGTGCTAACTTCAGAATACATACGATGATATCTTGGAGCCATACAGATAGAGTTAAGACCTATATTTCCATTTCTACCACTGATAAATAAGAATCTACAACACTACCTAAGACACAATGAACAAGAGGCTTTTATTCTGCTCATGGCTACTTGGTAGTCATGCAGTTACCAGAGAATGTTGACATCACTAACTTCTTGTTTTGTTTGATTAGCATGAAAGCTGACTAGCTAACATGGAAATGTCTGTAGTTACATTTAATGGCTAAAAGAAGAGTTTACATGATCAAAAGCACCAGTGTTTTTAGGTATAGACAGTGTTCTCGCCACTTTCAAGTTTGAAGACATGTAGAGAAACTTAACTCAAAACTTTGTGTATCGATTTTCTTGCCACATCAACGCAGTATTTTGGATTAATCAGCTCGTTGTGTTCAAGTTTCATGAGTTCTTATGTGCCAATACTTTAAGTTTTCTCTTACTGAATGATAATACGACCAATTTTTCATAGCAGAACAACAGGATGTGATAAGCTGAGCTAACGTAGCCTAAAACCTAAAAAGATAGCTGCCATGTGATTGGTTAGCGAGAGCGCTGTTTGGCTGCTTTATGCACTTATTTTACATACAAATCACCGGACGCCATGTTTCCATGTCGGTGTTGGATTCAACAGCTTTGGCTGCGACGTCAACTCTGAGGCCGCCAAGAACACAGTCGCTACTGGGTGTCAATCACGTTCTATGAGTGCATAAGACTTGTTATGTTGGCCGATATGTTAAATTCTACATTTAGGTTAATGGATATCGAGAGAGAAGACAAATGGCGCTTGTTGTCCTCTCTGAGTTTAGCCAATCATTGTCAAAACCTGCACATCAGGTTTCTTTAGGTCCGTTTAGACATACCTACTCTGCAGTTTTTACTTTTATTTCCTGCGACAATAACTCTTAAAGAGGTTCTATAGGACTAGTTCCTGTGGCCGGAACATGCACAAAGGTTTGAGACCGCCTTAACACAACTTGCAAAGTTCCAGCAGTGGACAACAGCCTTTTGTACGTGTTATTTCCAAGCCCTCCTTTAATTAGCTTTAGTTATCAGCCTGGATCTACTTGGCTGTTTACACGTTACACCTCCGTGACGATGCCCGACTTGTTTGATTGCAGATAAAACCCGTGTTGTGGGACCAGTATGGGTGCAGCAGGACACACGTGTGCACTTGAGAAAAAAAAAAAAAGCCAACACTGTATATCATTAATGGTGTGTTTACCAGGATAGACGTATTGTTCCGAACTGATCTACTGCCTTGGCTTTTAAAGCGTTATTCCACTTTGGCGGGAATGAATTTTATTGTCTGCGGGAGTTTGAGACGAGTCAACTAAAAATACTGGATGTTCTGGAGATGCATTGTAAGTTTCTAACATTTAACCTAAAAACAAATTGTAATTCAGAGCTTAGAAAAGAACCCCTAACATGACAGTGAACTCTTGAATCCTTTAAAGTCTTGACTTGTCTCGTTTCCACAGATCATCTCACAAAGTGAAATATGGCTCTAAGGCCCCATCATGTACATGACCAATGTTGTTAGAATATACAGTGACCAATTATTTATATTAAAGAAATGTAAAACATGTTGTCATTTCTGTCGTCATGTTTTTGTTCTTTTCTTTAAATCTCCCATTTCACTTTATTTTTATTTTCATGTCCGTCAAGCAGCTGCATTTATGTTTGCTTTGTTTTGCTTTAGTGTTCTCGAGCTCAGCTGTCCAGTTAACCCAAGATTGACACTTTTTTTGGTAATTGTCTCTTAATACAGTATTATAAATCCATTTATTACAAATGAAGGACTTATTTTAAGTTGTTACATGGACCAACTTATTCTCATGTTTCGAGGCTTAACGACTTTACGGATGCTTCAGAAAGTATTCAGACCCTTTCCGTTTTCAAAACTAGCATAAAAACCCAGAATGAGGAGATGAAAACATGTCTTTAGAGTTTTCTTTTTCTAATTTATTATAAATCTAAACCCATAAAAATAACGAGACCTTTATTTTCTTACTTTATAGAAGAACCCATGGCAGTAATGTCTCCACACAGATACTCAGAAGATGCAACATGTTGGACAGGAAGTGTCTTCAAATCTCCCTTCAGTTCTGACCAGCGTCTCTGTTGATGCTGCCACCACCATGCTTTACTGTACAGGCGGTATTACCACCCATATAACCTTTCTTCTTACTTTCTGACCAATATCCCTGTAGTGTTGCTGTGAAGCACCCCAGTGGCATGATGCTGCCACCACCATGCTTCACTGTATGGACGGTATAACCACCTGGCAACAGTTTGCAGCAACAGAATATGTTCTAGATATTCTGGATATTGAATCTTATCATTGAATATCATCTGAAACTTGTAAAGGAGAGATTTCCATTTTTGAATTTTAAAAAAATTGCAAAAAACCCCAATTCTAAACACATTTTCACTTTGAGTGTAGATTTATAATAACATTTACAATAATTTTATCCATTTAAAATTTAATTTTAAACATAAGGAAGGGAGTTGGAATTATAATTTTATCACAACACATAAACGTAAATGTGTAAATGTGCAGAAAACCCAGTGAAGTTAAGGCATTTGTTAACTCCAGTGAGTATATTCGGCCACAGTCACTTGTAAATTTACAGAGAAAAAAAAAAACATCTTTAAGTCTGACATGAAGGCTTTTAAGAATCAAGTAACACCTTAATCTACTTAAGATGCCCCAGAAACCAGACCACTTTGCGTCCTGATAAATAAAAATAAATCTTGATTTTGCCACTTTGTGAACAAACAGACGGTTTAACAGCAGTTTCATGTCATATTAGGCGTATAGCTGCACAACACTCCTGCAGCTTGGTCTTTAAAGGGCGCTTCCAATAGGCCAGCATCATTTTAAAGTTATTTTTTAATCAGTTATGTTTGTTTTTTTTATATTATGCTCTTTTTGAACAACATTCTGAGTTTCATCTCTCCGTCGCCTACATTAAATCTGCCAAATGTGCCAAATTACAAGGTCTTGTTTTTGGAAAACCCAAACCTCAGCCTGCTGTTCAATCAGAACAAGTCTTTAAAAAATGGTGTGGAGCTCTTTTTTTGATTTGAGTCATTTGCCAACAGCTGATCTTGGTGCCATATCAGGCTGTGGTTTGATTTTAGTTGAACATTAGGAGCGTCGTTTCCCAGGATCTTCATGGGTTGTTGCACCTTTTACAGCAAACAATCTGTTGATTTTGTCGTTTATTCTGGTTGTAATTATGAAGTACAGGCCACAAAATATTTTAAACATGTACAGGAGCCGTTTAACGATATTGTGGGGGGTATTTAGTTTACTTCGTTCCACCTTTCATCAGTGAAGGAAGTGTTATTTCAGTCCGTCCAGCTTCGTACTCAGTTCAGACTCAATTTGATTCAGTGTTTGGCCACTGGGGGGCAGCAGACTGAGCTGAAAACACAACATATTGTCACCGTATGAAGCTGTTATTTCGTATTAGCAAACAGCTGCGTGGTTGTACGTCCAGCAGACACATCACAGCTGCTTCTCGTTTTAACTCAGCGTTCAACCCCCTTTAGTTACACGAGAGCGCTGAGACCATAAAACCAAAACTACGAGCTAAAAGAGGCTAAAAAGCTCCGTATCATGTTGCATAACTCGACAGTCATTGTTATTAAAAGAAAAAATACTGATTAGCGCAGCTTTAAAATGTCATATGTGTCCTTAAAAGTCTTTATAAAAGTGTTGATTTTTATTAAAGCTGCTAATCAAGTGTTGAACATGTTTTTGTTCAGAGTTTGGTGAAAGCAGCCCTTTGATCGAGATGACTTACAGCTAATTTGGGTTAAATGTCGCTAAATATCTTCAATGAATTTAATTTGCAAAAACAACTTGGATCGAGTTGAGACAATCTCCAGAGACGGCTTCATGTTGCTTGTTATCTTTTGACGCATTCGTCCTCTGATTCCTTTTTCTTGCTTAAATTCAGTTGTTTTTTCTCGATGTGTGTGTTTGTTTTTTTAGACATCTCCATAATTCATCTTTAATGTAGTTTTTGAATTCACTTTGAAAGTTTACACAGTTTGCAGAGTCATGTCGTGCCTGTTCTAATAACTCTTCTGTCTGATCCTCTGTAAAAGTTCGTGAGCTACTGAATATTTTAATGCATTATTGATTATAGATTTTCAAAGCGGAGGCAAAAGAGAACAGAAGTCCTGATGTTATTTTTTCTTGTTTGGTTTCGTTTCGTGCCCGATGTATCAGAACAACTAATCAATCCGAGTTACCTCTAAGAGCTTTTATTTTTGGAAATCCTCTGTGTGTGAATTCTCTCTGATGCCTGCGGTTCGTACTCGTTTGTTCAGTTTTTTGTTTTTTTTTCACTGTGTGTATCGATGCCTGTGTGTGTTTGTTGCACCGTTAGCATGTTTGACACCTCGAGAATGGAATGACCTGCGATGCGTTCAGTGTTTCTGATGCCAGAGCTGCAAATAAATCTCTGTTGGTTTTATCCTGCGTCTTTTTTTAAATTTACTTTTCCAGAAGCACTCGACGCAGATGGTCGTCGTCTTTTTACTGTTTCTAAACCTTCTCCAGCAGAGTCTGATTGCAGCTGTGTTGGGCTGTTTCTTGCCTGAGGACCAACAAACTTTTCTTTTAGTCTTTTTTTTTAATCTTGCATGCAAAGGATGTAGAACTTGTGGATACTATAACAGTTTGTGTGCAATTAAAAAGGAAGCCCACTTGACAGTAACTCAAGTAAAAGACCAAAGAAATTGTAGTCTTGACATTTACGTTAAATATGTTTATGAATAAGTGGCAAAACTGAACAAAAACAAAGTACACTCTACATGTCGCTAGTTAGCTGCCACAGCTGTTTATTTGGTTTGTATATCAGCTGCTGCAAACTGGTAACAAAAGCTGCTGCGTTGGGAAAAATGTTGTTCCTGTCAGTGGTGCAATGGTGTCCCTTCAGTGGTGGAGTTCCTCAAGGCTCAATTCTGGGACCTATTTTATTTTCCTTATTTGTTCTTTGGCTGATTCACATCATTTCTTTGAAGATGATATCCGACTTTATGTATCCAAACACAAAAAAAATTAAAGCCTCAAGCGGCGATGGACGGGTCCTATAGTGGGAAAAGTGTCCTGAATGTGTCTAAAGACAGCTTAGGAAGGTACTTCTGTAAAAAAAAAAAAAAAAGGCACATTATATATTTGGGCCTCAATTAAAAAAAAAGTCATACAATAGCATGTCGTTTTTGTCAAAAAATCTTACGTTTCAGAATGTCCTCAAAAACCTGTCAGGATGTAGTATATAGTGGGAAAAGTGTCCTGAATGTGTTTAAAGACAGCTTAGGAAGGTACTTCCTGAAAAAAAGCACATTATGTATTTGGGCCTCAATAAAAAAGTAGAATGTACTTTCTTTGTATGCTATTCAAATAGT